TGAAAATCCAATCCAATCTAAATGGATTAGAAAATCCAATCCAATCCAATCCAATTGAATTTGTGAATACACCCATTATGTTTGAGTTTGGAATGAATCTCCAATAAAAATCGTTTCGTGTTTATATTTGTTTGAAGATGATCGTTGTTAAATGAAATTGTGTAACCTTTTTTTTTGTACTTCAAACTTACTCAAAATAAGAAATCAAGACAAAGACAAAAAGTCAAACCGTTTTTCTCGTGAATTTACAAATCAACAATTACGAATTTTTTTTTTCATTAATAATAATTAAAAGTAATAATTATAATAATTAGAAAGATTAGAAAATTTTTAAATACTGCAGATTTCATTTTTTTTTTTCCGGCGACTCGTTCAGAAAAATAAAATTTTCTTAATGACAAACATTTTAAATGTACGCCAAAAATCCTCTCACTATTTAAAATCATTTCATGATATTTTCTAAATAATACATATATTATTTATTAATCATACAAGTTAAATTAAAACAAAAAAAATCAAAAAGTCTTTCCTCCTCGTAAGTATTTTATCAAATAGATCACATAAATTAATTAGGAGTTCAATATAATTATATCACATAAGGCGTTAACTCACATGTTTTTGCAATTGTAAATTATTTATCAATTAATTTTTTTCTCATGTTTATTTCCTTTCATGACTTTATTTGATCTTATCAGAATCATTTACATCTATCGTATTGTTACAAATATAGTAAATTTCCTTTTAAAAAGCATTAATTTATAAACGAGCGTATTATTTTCGGGATTTTCATTTTCATTTTCAAATTTTTTTTCCTTAAGCAAATTTACGTGAATAGTTAATTTGAGATATAATTGGAAATTCCGTAAAGAAATGCCAAAGATAAGTAACCCAAAGTTACAAAATCTTCGCTTAAATCGTCAAAACGATAAAAACACCAAAAATTCTCCAGATGATAGAACGGCTTTAGAAATAATATCAGGCCTTAGGGCCGAAAATATACCTCCACCAGATATTGATTTTATTAAACGTGTGTTGAAAAATTCTCGTAAGGCAAAAACCAAGAAAAACGATCCTCCAAGACCTCCAAACGCATTTTTTTTATTTCGTAACGCGTTACATTCTCATTTATCCGCTCATAATTTAAAAGTACCTCAAGTTAGCGCTGCGGCTGGAAAATTATGGAACAATGCTGGTGATGAAATGAAAAGCAAGTATATTAGATTACAAGAATTTGCGAAATCCTTACACTTGCAAATGCATCCGGGATATGTGTATCGACCCAGAAGAAATATTCAAACTACTTCTTCGAGTAATTTGGAATTAGATAAAATTTCTTTTGAAAATAAACCAACTTCAAATACTTCTGTAGCCCCTCCTTTACCTGATACCTTTTCCTCCTATTCAATTTCTGAGCCATCCTCTCCTATCAAATTTGTTGATTCTGATTTGGAACAGTTAACCATAATTCAACATAATCAAGATATTTATGAAACTAAAGACAAGTCCACAAGATATTCTTCTCGAGATTTCATTACATCCGGACATAATGGACCAAATCAAAAATTGATGGAATTTCATCAAGAATCTACTCAACCAAAGCAATCGCTTCCTACGTTTTTAGATCACTATTCTTCTCCTGTACAAAATCAAAGTAAGAGATATTACGATATCAATAGTAAATTTCTTCAGGATCAACGACATCAAAGCTTTACATCTCAACAACTCAATCAGATTGATCCAGTTTCAATCGCATTTCCTGTAACATCCGTCGATAATTTCATCATGACATTGGGACATCAGGCATTGTCAAATTTAAATTCTACGCCCAATTTAAATTATGCGGTTCCAAATAATAGTGGATTTGATGTAAGACCAATTGATGAACCATATCATTATAACCTACCTGCTAGGTTTGATTTTGTCGATAACCAAGGAAATGAATTTTTTGAAGATTGGATTGATTGGGATTATTTCACTAAAGACACATTTTAATAAATATGAATTCTTTTCATGATTTTTATGATTTTTTATGATTTAAATAATTATCATTATAAGTAATTAGAAAATATATTTATAACAAACCTAATATGTTATTTTTTAAAGTTTCTAAGAGCAAAAGAATTAATTTACCGTTAAGCATAATTACTGTATACTCAAGATTTTTTTATTAAGAAATCGAATTCGTTTGTTTCTTGATATATTATGCAAGCTTTTATGTTAAGGTTCTTCTATTTTATTCATTCCTTTTTTTTCACCTGAATTTTTGGTATTTAATGCGGAATTCATAGTCATGTCCAATTAAAATCATAATAAATTTGAAATCTTATTTTTTTCTTTGATTTTTTTTTTTTAAAAAAAAATAGTTTCGTTTTACTTGCCCTATAAAAAAAAGTGATCCGTGTTTTATTTTCCAATTTTTTTCCGTGAAGGGCTCATTTTCACGGAATTTTTACAGAAGCCACGGAAATATTCAGGAAAAATTTTTTTATAGGGTTGCTATAGTAACTGGATTTTTTTTCATAAGGCTAGTTAGTAAGCTTATTTGTCCTAAACCAACTGCCGTGAAAACCGAGTTCAACGTTCGGTAAAAAAAATTCGTAACCATTGCATGGCTTGTTTTAGGGTAATAGTGTCACTTCTGTAATACGCAAGGAGTTAGCAACGTATTTTAATGTTCATAAGGGAATAAGAATTGACTCAACATGATGTTCTATAATAGCAAAATGAAATAAGAAATAAATGTCAAAATTTCTATAATTTCATTTTATTATTGAATTGCTATACAAAAATATTAATCTTATATTAAATTAATAGAAACAGATTTTAAGTTTAAAAAATTAAAAAATCTTTAGTAATGAACTACTTTAATGTGGTTAAAAGAAGAAAGTTACTATATATAGGTTGTGATTATAAAGAGGGTCAACTGATAACTCCACTTTGAAATATACTGATGAAGAAGAAAAACTTATTCGCTATATTCAATAACAAATACAAGAACAAGTGATAAACGTCATAATCCTTGTAAGATCACCAAACTGAAACCTTCGATCAACAATGCTAAGTTTTTGCTAAATGGGTTTATATTTTTCATTATATTCTCAACTGACATTGCATTAAAAGGTACAACTGAGTTATTCTACAACTATTACTTATTTTTTCCCGTGCGTTGGTGAATTATTCGAAGAGATACTTAAATTATAAATTTCTTCGAAACGTTTACTGTTTATCAAACGGAACGGTTGTGAGTCAAATGACGCACGCAGCAGGTAAACCTTTAACAACTCTATAATGTGATGATTAGAGCATTTAATGCAGTTCCGCATTTAAGTGTAATACATAACAATAATACCTACGGGAATAAGGATTATTAATTAAGTCGCACAGAGTCTCGGTGAGATAATTATCCGAATACGGTTGGATCATAGGCGTGACGTTATTTTTTTCATGTTTAATAAATGATGATCACGTAATTAAAGTACGATGACGATCACGCCACGAAAAAAAATATTGTACAATAAAAATTGTTTTAATTGTTTTATTTGTGAAAAATTAAGTAAAGAACTAATAAGTTCTATTACATTTTTACAATTAAATTACGTTTTCACACATAGTGTGGATTGGTAACTTGCTTATCAATTTATTAAACGAGAATCTTTGACATTCACGTCTTTAAAGGAAAAAAAATAAAAATTATTAAGAAAGAATGAAATTAAAGTAAAAGGTATTAATTCAAATAATTTTTTTTTTTTTGTACCTTGAAAATATTTGATCCTTTTGAGTTCCTGCTTTAATAAAATGACTTGAACTGACAAAAGATGGAGAATAAGTTCTGCATGTGGGACACGTCTTGGTGACATCAACAACTAGAAAAAGATTATTTTTGGCACGCGGTTTGATCCATTTGTTTAAACAACTGAAACAAAACACATGGTCGCATTGTACAAGCAATCCAAATAATCCAAATACTTTAGGAGTTTCGAGGCAAATACCACATATATACTCCTCTTTTGCTTTTTGTTTGTTTTTTTGATTTTTCAAGTCATTTTTCTGACTATCAGCGCTAGTGGAGTTCACTTCTTTAGTGACATTATCAGGTTTTTCAAGTTTATTCCAACATGAATCTCCATATAACCAACGATTTTCCAAGAAAAAACGGCAAACCGATGGAGCACTATGACGGTTCGAGTTTGAATTCGGCCTTTGCAACGTTGAGGAAGAGCTTTCCGCATTACTATGGTTGTATCGTGTACTCCCACCATTATTACTGTGTGAATTATTATCTTCTTCTTTGTGCAAAAAATGACAACTCGTCCCTCTGTTACAGTTTCCGTTAGAAAAATTCCTGCAATTTGGATGTGAAAGATGAGCGTTTGAAGATTTATCTCTGTAATATGACATGATGATAGATGATTAAAATAATGAGAAAGAAAAGAGAAAAGTTTATTGTTATTAAATAGGATGGTTTAGAAAGTAATTTCATCAGGAGTACAAATAAATAAAACCTATAGCGGTGGTAAATTCTGTCTCATGACCCTGAAAAAAGGAGCAATAGTTTTAACCTTGTTAGGTTTATATTAAAAGTATCCCCTTAAACAGACGATATCGATAATCCACAAAATTGTAGATCAAATTAGCTGTTTAAAGGTTCGGAACCTTAATATAGAAAAATAAATTCCATTAGACTGTCATATGACGTTTTTAATCGACGTATGATCTATATTATTCAACCTAATTGCACGATATGATTCGACTTTTATATCTTATCGTTATTGTTTCTTCTCGAACTTTGTCGGGTAAAAAAACAGAGATCGTCAAAGGTCTAATCAATGTAAATACATATAAATATTAACGTAATAAAATTAAAATATTGCATGCATTACTTGGATTTCTTTCGGGTTGCATTCCTCACCTATTTTCAGCTAAGAAGTATTTCCTTACAAGATGAATATATGAATTTGATCTCTTTAGATTGTGAAATATTTATGCAAATCACGTGCTTCCTAATATTATCACAAGGGGAATCTTAACGTGTTCCAGGGGTTTACGCTATTTATCCTGTTCCCCAATTTTCACGTGATACATTTACTTACTATATCATCGCTGATCTGAATCTGTATCTGTATTCGATAGATCAAAAAATTTTTTTAATAGAAATCCGCCTCTGACATTTAGAACGGCGTTTTAATGTTAAATTTTATTGTTTTTTTAACAAAATCCACTTCTAATATTTGAAATAGCGTTTTAATATTAAAAAAACAACAATATTGTTGTTTTTTTCTAACAAAATTCTGCCTTCGAAATTTAAAATAGCGTTTTAATAGTAAAAAAATGACAATTTTTAACAAAAATCCGCTTCTGATATTTGGATAGGCATTTTATTATAAAAAAATTAATTTTTTATTAATAAATATCGCATCTGATTATTAGGATGGCATTTTAATATAAATAATTAATAAAAATTATTTTTTTTATTAATATATAGAAGTGTTTTCAATAAAATCACATTACAGATCATATGATTTACTATGTCTCATGACTTGATTTTACTAAAACATTCCCATATTCTACATCTAACTTTTGGGCAGCATTTTATTATTAAAATTAATTTTATTAATAATAAATGCTACCTCTAACTTTTGGAACGGCATTTTGTTATTAAAAATTAATAAAAATTAATTTTTTATTAATAAATGCTGCCTCTGACTTTCAGGACAGCATTTTGTTATTAAAAATTAATAAAAAATTAATTTTTATTAATAAATGTCACATTTGATTTTTGGGGCAGCATTTTTTATTTCAAATTTAACAAATCAGATTTGGATCCAAATCTGAATTCGTCAGATTGAATTAAATCCAAATCTGAATTTGATCCGGATCTAATGGATTGAATCAAATCAAAATCTGGATCTGAATCTGATTTTTTGCAGAATACTACTATTATCTCACATTATTATTTACTTGATCTTCATCTTTTTTGCGTAAATAAAAACAACTATCAGGAAATTGATAATTGTGATTCAGTTTCTAAATTCTCATTTACAAATTCTTTCAAACTAAATACAGTTCTTAATGATGGTAATACTTATTCTTCTAAAAAAAACCTTTATTATTACAATTAAAACAACAAGGTTTTCAAGTTCATTTAGAAAAAATGCTATAAGCCAAATATATAAAAAAGTAATTATTTGCAACAAAGAAAGTTCTAGTAAAATTTGTGATTTAAATAAAAGAAATCAAACTTCACAAAATTATAATTGTTTATATTGATACCAGATTTCATTAAAGTTATTGCATCATAATGATCTACAAAATTAGCATTGTTAACTTTTTTCAACTTCTTTAACATTTTACTTCTTTAACATATTTATAATTTTTATATTATTTATTTATTTTATATTTTAACTTTATTAATTATATTATCAATTTATTATAAAGTAATATTAAATATAGTTTTCTTATAATTGTAATTTTGTATAAATAGGATAGAAATTACTCTTGTAAAAGAACAACTCAAGAGTATGTGTTCAAAACTTAGAATCTAAGAGTAAAGATCTCTAAGCATACAAATCTACAATAAAAAGGAATCTTTTCTATATAATAATCATATTTTATCTTCAATATGTCTAAAAAAATTTATCATTTTGTTATAAATTTATAAGTTAAACTTGTGTAAAATACTTACTAATTAATAAACTTAAAGGTTGATCATGATAGGATTTATCTCATAGTAATCATAATCAAATATACATATTACTTCCTATTATCAAGTCAACGTTACCCTAAGTTAAATAATTGAGCGTAAAGTTAATAATGTTATATATAGAGTTCTTCAAAATCGAATCGAATCAAATATTTAAGCAATTTGAATTTGATTTGATTTTTTCAAATCGAATCGAATTGAATTGAATTGAACTCAAATATTTGATCAAATCAATTTGAATCAATTTGAATTTGATCGAATCGAATCAAAT